TGTAGCAAAGTGTGAGACATAACGTTTGAGTGAACTTAAGCATCAAGCAACCAAGCTTAGTGTCAAAGCCTGGAGGAGAAAACCTCTGGGCCAGGGTATCAAAAATCCACAAAGCCCCTCTCCGCTAGCGTAGTAGGCCTGATGACAAAGTTGTTCGTCAACAAGTCTACTACGCAGAGTCGAGGCATGTGTAAGTTTGAACCCTGGGACAGAAGTTCCTCCTCCAGGCTAAGCCCAGGGACAAGAAATGGAAGGATACAGCGTACAGAAAGAGAGGAATTGTGTTTTGTCATGCAGTGATATAAACTCGAACTCTGTTATCACTGTTAAGTTCTTGCAACAATTCAAACCTCCCGCGTCAAAATCCAGGCTTAGTCTCAAGCTCATCAAGTAAAGTCTGCCAGTGCAAAAAAATAAGCGGCTGTCAAACTCTACTAGATCAACATGAGACAAGCCCTGAATTTTCCAACAGGAGGTTAGTATTGCTACAAGTCCATCAACAAAGTGATAACAAAGTCTGGGGTCTACATGGCTTTAAAGGAAACAAATATTAGTCACAACCTTAAACTAGATATTATTATTAGTATAAGAAATGCGAAATCTTTCAATAAATAATGACAATGAAATGAAGAGAGGGCGAGTTTTGTTGTGTGTTTTGAACTAAAATTGAGAGGATCGCAGAGATGCCCTATTACATTACATATTTCATTGTCATTTGAGAGGTCTGCATGGGAAGTCACGATCATGCTTTGCACTAAATTCCGGCAGGCAGCGGCCACGATTTATTCTTCATTCCTACAGACTGGATGCTTAAGACATAGACTTAGTTCGACTTAAAATTATGCAAAATTCAAATGGCAAGGCGCAAAATTATGCAGAGCAGCAGCTTGGTATTACGATTCATTCGTGCAGGCTTAATGCTTTACTCATAATGACCTACCTGACTTCGGATTACGCAAATCTATGACGAGTGCTTACGCATTGCGACATGCAGACCCCATTGAAAGAGTTCTTAAAATAAAAGCCAACTCACAGTCAAGGTCCGATGTTCTCTTGTCTCGTAGATAGGTGACAGGTCCCTCACACACAGGAAAATCCTCCTGGAATACTGGACAGGCACACAGGATACCCGATAGATCCTCCAAGAATTTGGACAGGAACACAGACAGGTCCCACAGCACACACAGGAACATGGTCAGGTACAGTCTCAGCTTCCCATAACCTAGGGTGTAAAAGAAATAAACATTCAGAAAACTCTCATGCCAAACTTACAAGCACATTCTGAGTACACCAATGATACAGTGACACCAATGTTTACAGTATTCGCATAACATGCATGACATCATAAAACCTGCTTTGGTCGGGGGAAGAGCACATGGAACATTGTTACAAAGTGTGGCAAAACAAGAGCACAGTCAACAGTGAACAATCACAAGACAATACATCTCACAGAAATATATCACGTAAGTTATCAAAATCCATTACATCTTTTAAAACCTGCTTTGGTTGGATGGAAGAATGCAAAAATATAATGTATAATATCTTAACCAAACAACAATCACATGACAATACATCTTACACAAAATATTACATATCACAATCCAAATAACGACAGAACATACGTCTCATGTTGCCATTCATTAAACTACTAGCTTACACATGTAGATACAACAACATCAGCCAAGGACACATGAAATGCATTTCAAATATCAATTCATGAAAACTGAAAAATAGATCAAGCTCATATGCACAGAAATAAAACAGTAAATAGGCAATAGTGTAAATAGCATTTCTACAGTACTTAAGAATGATGTTTGTTGACCTTAGACTTGAAGAGTTTAAGGTTATACTCATAGGGGAAGCAATCACGAGGTAGCTTATTCCAAAGTGATGTTGTTCTTGGAAAGAAGCTTTCAGCATGGAACTTCCTCCTAAGAGGTGGTGAATGGAGGAAGAAAGGGTGATTTGCTTCGGTGGAAGTGGCAAGATGTGTCCTTGTTGAGAATTTTCGAAGTGGGGGCACTAGCGAATGAAAATATTTTTTTCATAAAATATACACACTGAACGGCTTCAACCAAACATGAAACCTGAGTACTGTGTATGGTTTTAAAATCACACAGTGATAGTCAGAATAGTCAAAAAGTTTTACAATAAATTAACACACGTCAAGTACTGCGTACACATTATTTCTGAAGACAACAATAAAAGATATGGAGAAAAACATATGTCAAATATTTAGCTAGTTATGTATCAAATGGCAAAATATTGAAATAAACCATCATCATTGCATGCAAACATGTGCCAATTAATCTGCATAACTACGTACCTCTGAAACATTTCCCTTGGTCTGGAGGTCCTTGATGTAGTGTTTCAATTCAGAGCTGGAATAGTAACAACAGCACTATGCAGCAGCAGTTATAGTTACAGCAAAGCATACAAATCATCATATTCGAGTACAGTATTGTTAGCTCTGTCATCAATTTGTCTAAGGTTTACACGACAATTATATAAATTCCAATGTCAGATTTTTTTAAAAAGTCAAGTTTGAGAGTATGTTTGGGAATAATGTTAACGGGGGTGCCATAATTCCGACCTACCCTTAATTACAATCACGGACTAGTTTGAAAAATCCTTCTTGTGGGATTATGCATGGTGGCATGTGCATAGAAATACCAACAGAAATGGACAAAGTTTTTGTGTTGATAACGGTAACCTCATAAAGTTTGTTTCCGTTCGTATACTGCGGCAACAGACGAGTGAAAAATCTATTTGAATTCGACGCTTGTTTGGGAGTTGACGAGCGTTTTAAAAATGCGGTTTTGAATTTGAAACAGCCGCTTTGGAGCAAGTCGCGTAATGGTAAAAAGAGGAGGACTTTTTTGGGGACAGAAAAACAGCTGTAGATTGTTTAAGTCATTCTTTGTGTATTTTAAATTCTAAACTCTCTTCTCAATAGAACGTTCCACCAGCAAAATGACCAAAAACCTGCCGTAAGTTTTGCGAACCATTACGCTAGGCGCTGCACTGAAGTGAAATACACAGCTGTGCAGATTTAATGCTGTCTGCCTCTTTTATACCAGAAAACACCGGAGTACACATATAAGAGGCTTAAATCTACCGAAATACACCCTGCATTGATGAGATAACACCCCAAGTCACTGTAGTTTGACAACTTATATGTAGCCCAGGGAACAAGGAATCACTAAATAATAAATCGGCAATTGTCGGAGGAAACTCGGCCAGTCGCCATCGGTTGCTTTTTAATGCTTAGGTCACATTTCCAAACCGGGGCCCGGCCGGGCTGTTTGTACGAACGAAAAATTAACTATTCATATCAAGAATATACAGAAATAGAGCCCATGATTGCTATTAAGAACTTTTCTGTGTTTTGTTATCTTCTGTAGCGTAGTTTTCGTTCCCAAAAGCTGCCCAGGCCGGGCCCCGTGTGGGAATTGTGACCTAAGCATTACTTAGTGCAGCGTTAACTCGTGCAGAACACTGTTGCCGCTTATTTTCGAAGTTTTGTCTTTTTGCTTCAGTTTATTTAAAGGAGATTTGGCCACAATAGTTCGGAGAGTATCTATGGCAATTTAAAGTACAACTTACCACCAAAGCGGACGTGGCGCGTCTACCTGGGCGGAATTTTTACCCGCTCGTTCTTCTCCATGTTCCATGCACGCTCGCCATCTTGGAAAGGTGTGTTTCACGCACATGTGCCACCTGTACCTGTAATAAATCCTGAAAAAAAAAAAGAATTCGATAATGAAGTTAACATAAGATTAACGACAGGCCAATAAACATTCATCACACATGCAGGCCAGAAAACTTTGATGATTCAATTGTGGCTTTTATCTTAGAAAATTCGAAATTCTAAATTTTTCTATCCTTATCATTCAACTTTATAATTTTAGGAAAGGAGGAAAGCACAATCTTCCAATAAATGATCTTTGTTTGACCCATTTATCTTTTAAATTACAAGAACATTTTCTAGCTAGTACTAGGTGACAGGTGACATATAATACAGATATTTCGATGAATCCTATACAGTATCAAGAAATATCTTAATTTAACCAGCAAAACTAATACGCCCAAAACTGTTTTTAAGAGGAAATACGATTTACCGGTAGCGTAGTATTCCACATTGCAGTACTGTTTAAGACTGAAAGGGGTCGCTATGACTGCACAGGTAAATGGGTGACCTTTGACCTACGATGAAGTTTACCTGTACCGCAATGAAACGCAATCGACTCTACATTTTGCAAATTAGATGACCTTTCTGTCTGATCTTACCACTTCATAAAGTTATTCAATCACTGTCGAGAAACATGGTATTCATCAAAAACACACGAATGACAACAGAATCGTTTTTGTCAGTAAATAAGTTCGTAGCCTTTAATATATGCCATGTGCGTTTTGATGTTCTCAAAAGTTAACAGGTGTGTACAAACACCAAGGAAACAAAACACTTCCGTGATTTTTCTGACGCGATGCTCCTTTTCAGTCCAAAAACGCCTTTTACGGATTTTACGTGACTTTTTGGAGTCCAAATATATACAAGGAGGACTTACGTTAGATTAAGACTGGTACTTGCGGATGTTAAGCGTTCCAACAAGTTGCAAAGTCGCCACAAATCTGTGTATTTTCTGAACTCCGAACAGCGACAAAATGTCTCCATACGGCTGGAACTGCTTACTTCTGAGGAGCATTGTGATTATCTTGGCTCTTATATCTCCTAAAGGTGGGTGAACGCTTATTGCAAATACTACTTGCTTCATACTCTAAGCAGTTTTTGTGTACAATCATTCCTTAAGTACGTTCGTAATGAATGCAAGTCTTATGTTAAATGTTAAGTGGGGCTGTAAAATAAGTTGTATAACTTGAGTTCAGCCCCACTTCGTCCTTGTCTTGTATTGTTTCATTCAATAAATAAAAAATAAAAAAAATAATGAATGCAAAATGTTATAGAAGTTTGAACGTAGTCTGGGTGTGAAGATACATTTTTGGCGTTTCTTCTTACGATATATTTTTACGTTATTACCCAAGTTTTGTATGCTATCTGCCTTTGCAGTATCATCACAACAAGCATCATGTCTTGCTGTAAGACTGTCCGGTGCAGAAGACAGTGGGACTTACACACTGGATGTAGACGGACAAGGCCCTCTGGCGGAATTGGACGTGTACTGCGACTTCTCTGGTCTGGATACGATGACTGTTCTACACCACAACAGTGAAGACAGAGCAAGAATATCATCAGGAGGTAAATACTAAAAGAACATGCCTTAAATCCACTTTTTGTGTGGTGCTGCAGTTCTCTACTAGGCCTCCAGGAGGCGCATTTAAACTGTGCTTAAATCTTCTTCTCTCTCCTTTCCCAGGTGATTTTCGCCTCCAGCTTACCTACCAGGGCAGTTTGGAGCAGATCCAGGCTGTTGTACAGAGATCAGTCAGCTGCCAACAGTTCCTGAGATATGAGTGCAGGAACAGTCCACTTAGACTGGCAGGTAGGCATCAGCTCAAACTTTTTATAAGGTTTGAGACCCTTAACAAAAGTACTAGACTTATACTGGTAATCTTTCAGCAAAGCTTCATTTGCAAAAGCATGAAGAAAGGTCCTACAAGGTAAACATATCTATCTTAACAGAAATATTGCATCTGGCAGGCACATACATTGTTTTATTACTGGTACTGCTGTCAGCTACTGTAGAATGAGTCTCACAAATAATTTTTCTCTTGAAATTGAATGAAAAACTTTTTCCTTCTTTCAAAGAATACTGTACTAAATATACATGTACCAGTAATGTAGAAATTCTGCTATTGTAGAAATTCTGCTATACTGGATAAATCGTTTTCAGCAACACTTGAGAGTTAGACTAATCACTATCTTACTGTAAATGGAGAAATATTTACAATGGTTTTATTTTCAGTGTCTTCATGGTGCAGAACACTGCAAACATGCAAAATAAATAAAAATAAAATAAAACATGCATTTTGTAGTTCTACTGTACTTGAGAATTGTTTCATCTGCAAATATCAAGCAGCAAAAAAAGAACACAAAATAAAACCATCACGAAGGTTAATGAATTTACAGTAACATAATTCCATGTTTCAGAAAACGCCTCCTGGTGGGAGACCCCAGATAATAGTCGTGTGTACTCCTGGGGCGGCACGGGTGGCCAGACGGGATTGTGTCGTTGTGGTACACAGCAGAACTGCCAGCCCAGCCCCGACCAATCCTGTAACTGCGACGCTAACGACACGGTCTGGAGAACGGACGAGGGATACCTGACGGACATGACGGCTCTTCCCGTGGTTAACGTATCCTTAACAGCGAGGGAAGGAGAGGGATATCTGACAGTGGGGCCACTCACATGTGTGGACCAACCAGGTAGGAATTAGACATTTTCTATCAAATACTAGTAATTAGAAATGCATCCAATAGTCAACTATTGCTTGCTGTGATGGAAAGAATTAACATGTGCCTTTAATAGTAATAATGGACTAAACTGGCCAGGAAATGTCTTGACTGTAGAGAACCTCCAAGCAGATCCTAGGGTGGCAAAAGACAGTATCAAACTGGCCAGGCAGTATCCATTGGCCTGAGAGGGTCCAATATGCCTGGATACTGCCTGGCCAATTTGATACTGTCTTTTGCCACCCTAGGATCTGCTTGTAAATAATAGATATCCAAGTGTCTGCTTTTTTCTTGCTTCAAAGTGTCCCCTGAGAATGTTACAGTGTGTTAAGAGGTGATCTTGATCTTTTCAGAGTTCGTCCCTAACCAGCCCTGGCAGATGGTTCTGGGTACAATCATCCTGGTGTTCGCTGCCTTCCTCACCTTCATGCCTGCTTTTGTACGCAAGTGGTGATCCACCCCCGCTACCAAACCAGCTTATTATATATATCATTCTGGATATGAAGATACATATTGTCTGTATATATTAGTATATATTATACTATGTTGTTTTATATATATTATGCTACAAATCCTGTCAGATGACAACTTCTGTCTTTTTAGTCTTTTTGTACTTTTAGCCTAGCCTCCTTCACAGACTTGTAGGGCGCAGCGTTTTTTGTTTTGTTTTGGCATACAGCGTCTTATATACATTTTTTTAAAAATAATTTCTGTACTGACAAGCTGACCTCAGAAGACATTGTATTATGCTGTTGTTGGTGTTGTTTAGCGTATTAATAAAGGAATAGCATAATTTTCTGAGTCTGGCATCAAATGTGTCAGTAGTATGGTGAACAAACATAGTACTTGCTCTGCACCATCTTGGAAACTTAAGAAGTATCCGAAAACAATTATCATATGCCACCCGACATTTGGCAAGCACACTCGAATTAACACGGTTCCATAGCTGAATGCCAAACAGTTGGGAGCAGTACGTCCCCAGCAAGTCTGCTTGCAGTCGGCTGCCTGGTACAGGTGCTGCACTCTGTCCAGGGACACGTGGAGGGTTCCTGAGTAGATGTAACTCAGATTCTCCCCACACATGGCTGCATCCAAACCCTGTGGAGCAATATAATTTGTATTTACTGCACTGTATGATGTATTTACTATTAACTGTTGCTTTATCCTACTTGAGGACACGTACTTGTACTTCCAGCTATGGTAAATTTTGAAACTTTTGAACTTGTGGGGTTGTATGGAATAACAGCAGAACATTCGGATCAGAACCAAGAGGTCCCGGGTTCGAATCCCGCCATGTCACCAAATGATTGAAATTACAGTATCTTTAAAACACCAATAACAACTTTACTACTGATATCAATTATTTACTGATCTTGGTACACATTTATATATATAAAACAATACATAGAATCCCTAGAGAGACTAGTTTTGTTATACTTCAGCTGTGATTTGCGCCAAATTTACCTTCAAAACACACGGTCTTCTGCCGACTCTCCGCCATATCAGATGTAAAGATAGCCCGGAAAATAAAAATAGGGGCTGGCCGCGGACAAAACAAGCCGGTGGCAGGGAAACCGGCGGCCCTCGACTTCAAGAACCACATCCTGAAGAACTTCGGCCTTCTGTAAGTCACTTACGGCTCCAAGAAACCCGTGGCGATAGCTTCTATCTTGGTAAAAACGAGGAGGGAGTGTTTTTACGTTCGTTTCTTGGCCTGCGGCAGCCATGATGTTCCCGCCCAGGGTAGGGTACAGCCCCTTCATCATCATCATGGCTGCCTGGGACCGCTTTTTCGACCGCAACTAGACGGTACAGTGGGGGCCTCCAGCGATTCCTGTCAGATTTGCAGTTGCAGTATGCAGGTTTCCCCTTTACCATATATGGCGTTCCTTGCCAAATATGGAGCTAAGAACGCACAGTACTAGGCGGTACATGCGCGAATGTACGCCGACTGAAAACGCACCATAATTCAACTTTTATTGTCTAAAAACTAGCGCATTCCTCTAATATTTACCACGGGTTTAATCTCGAAGCCATACACAGAGCAATCTTTGCGCCTTTCTCTAGTATTGTGCAGCACTACTTTGTGTTCGCCCATAAATACATGTGTTATGCGGTTCAGGTGTCGCGGACAAGGTTGGTTGCCGACATTACGGCCCCCCCCTTACCATATATGGAATGCTGGTGTCGCGGACAATGTTGGCTCCCGGCTTTTCGGCCTCCCCTATACCATATATGGAGTCCGCTACCATATATGGCGTGCCTTGCCATATATGGAACGAAGAGTAACAGCGGGTTTGGCCTGCAGTAATAACCTTCCGCAGTTAGACGGCGCTTTTGAACCGTGAGCTGGAGGTGTACCGGCCGTATGCACTGACGGATTTTTCTGCACGGCGTGTCCGGAACTGCACCGGGCGGGCAGGAGCTGCACCGGGCGGGCAGGAACTGAGACCGGGCGGGCAGGAACTGGAGACCGGGCGGGGCAGGAACTGAGACCGGGCGGGCAGGAACTGCACTTATACGGGGGTGCTGACGGAAGGATCGAGACTGGATGCCGGGCAGCACGAGACGGCCCTGCGACCGGGACACGCTACACGGCCCGAGCCCAAATTTGGCGCCCGGTCCGGCCTGTAAATTTTCCTCTTGGACGATAAATACTTTTAGAAAGGAGTGTGCCGAGATGGGGACCCGGTAGCGAGCCGTGATATGACGGGGAGCCAGTTGTGACGCCGTCCGAGACCGTGATGGAGGGCCCGGTGGGCATGCCTTCGACCGGGACACGCTACGGCCCGAGCCAAACTTGGCGCCCGGCCCGGCCTCTAAATTTATCTCTGGACGGTAGATACTTTAAGGAAGGAGTGTGCCGAGATGGGGACCTGGTAGCGAGCCGTGATATGACGGGAAGCCAGTTGTGACGCCGCCCGAGACCGTGATGGAGGACCCGCGGGCATGCCATGATGGGTGCCCGGTTGACGGGATCAACAAACGCTGCCCGGGCCGTAACTAAGCCTGACACTGGCGCTAAAAGGGATCATCAGGCCCCAAAAATCGCACAAGAAGTGTTGGTCTTGGAATATATGACTCCCGGAAAGTTTAATTCTTCATTCCGTGTGCAGTTGTGGTAAGGCTTTGTATGCCATCGCTCTCCTTCCCAGTGGCGGTTCTTGAGATAGACGGACGTAGTGCTCCCGGCTACCGAAGGGAAACGGCTCACGGCCCCATCATAATCTGACTCCTAGAGTAGTTTGTTCCGTGCCAAGGACTGAACTCAGTGAATTAAACAACAATCGTGCAGCTTATTCCTACTTGTTAACCGTTTTATTGTTTGTTTACGTTTAGACTACATTTGTATTTTGCCAAAGTGAGTGGACGTGTGCGTGTATGAATGGGGGTGAGATGCAGGTTGCCAAAAGCGGCGATTTTCAGCCATGAGCCCCGCACTCACAAGAGAGGCGGTCGGTCTATTCGTGTGAACGAATGTGTAAAATCAACGGTGAATAAACCGGTACGATGGCATATTTTCACACCAAACGACGTGTATTTTTCTTGCGGTTTGGTTCTGTGACCCTCTGGACCTGGCAAATGTTTCTAGATAGGATGATTTCGCGTTCTAGCTGCCCAAACATCTGCTTGGTTTCCATTCATATGGTAATGAGTTCGGCAGCGAAAACTCCACTTCTGCAAAGGAAACGACGCGTTCTGCAAGCGATCAGCTGATCGCAAAATCACGTTTTGGCTTATAACTCCAGAATAAAGCAACTTTGGACGAAGAAGCGTCGCCGGTATGGACTAGTGTTTTGTTAGGAGTATACTGTGTCAATAAGGAATCTTAAACATGTCATAAATTGTATTTTTCTAAAATTTAAAAAGCGGAAATTCATCCCCTATCACATCCCCGTTTTCGAGCGCCCGTTTCGAAAAGGCCCGTATCTCGCTAACGAAGCCTCGCTCATTCCCAGATTTGGCCATTTCGCGAGTGGGGAAACGCGATGGGCTCTTATGGGGGTTTTACTCCCAGTCTTTCTTACTTTTGATCTTGACCCTAAGGCTCGACCTGATTACCAAAATATCACTAATTACTTAGGAAAGAACCATTTTAGTCCTACATTTGCTTATTTTGGTAGGAACATTTCCAGAACGGTCGTTATAAGCGGTTGAATATGGCCCTTTTTTCGTCATTTTTGTCTACATTTCTTACTCCAAAGTGAATTGTCTGTTTGAAAAAGTGTACTATTAATAAAATCACAACACTACCAGAGCCCTGGAACTACATTTCAAAGTTTCATGATCTGTTAATAACTATTTTCAGTTGTATTTGTCTTCATTTGGCTTCTTGTATTGTCACTCCGATTAAAATTAACCCCTCTATTATCAAGCAGATACGAGTAGACAATCCTTACAGTTTGAAACTGGGTAGATAGATATAATGTACAGGTCTAAGAAATTGTAGTAAGAACTGTAGTTAAGGCCATTTTGATATACTCTTAGTCTATTTTTACTCTTTTTAGGCCAAGTTTTAGGTGTATAGTTTCTGTTTTACATTGTAACAATGAGTGGTTAGAATTCTTACAAGCTTTTCTATTGTCTTGTATTGTATTCAGCACAAAAGTGTACATTCCATAGCTTTGCTTCTTAATCTGATTATTGTACGATGAATTTCCTGAAATTTACAACAAATATAATAGTATGCAACAAGTTTTATAATGGCTATCATGAAATACAGACTATCAAAAAATTGAGCTTCAAAAGTAAGCACTAAACAGTGTTTTTATACTAGTACTACATTCAATAATAAAATGCAAAATTTACACAATGAATGACACAGATGCCATCTTTATTGCTTTATTCTTTATTTTCTCCCCTCCCCGTGATTCCCTCCCCTCCCCATCCAAAAATAGACTGTTCCAGAGAAATGTACATGACCTATGACCTATAGAGAAGACCTAACATCTAGTACTTGACTCCTGTACAAATTATTATGTAAAATGCATACAACGTTGATTTATGAACAAGGCAGAGCAGCAAAGATTCAAGGGTTGCAAATCTAAAAAAAGAATAGGCTGGTTTATGGTGCAAACTGTCCTGATGTACATGGCCGACAAGTGGTACTACATGTATCAACAAGACAAGCTTTTTCCCTATTTTTGGTACCAAAAATCACATGGGATTGTTTCAACATTCACGCTTATATAAAGCTTTAATGTTGTGCACCTTATGAAATATTGACATTTAAGCAAAAAACAAAGACTTGTCCTTTTACCAAATCAGTATGGAATGGTCTTAAAGAACATAAAGCTTATTAATTGTCAAGGTTGGAATCCTCTTATAGATGGTCCTCTAGCATCTATCCCCCCCCCCAAAAAAAAACAACAACAAAGGCCCAAAGTGTTTGACTGCAGTTACATCTCAATAGTAAATATTACAAAAAATGTCTTGTACATATCGGATAATGCTTATTTAAGGCAAAATCATAATTCAAGAAAGGAACTGATCTTAAGAGTTAAGCTGATACCAATTAGATTTGATATACATGTATATGCTTATTACTGCACACAAATCAGAAAAGAAAATTATTTCATGAGGAAAGGAACTTTTGAATCAAAACTGACAGTAAAATAGAATCAACATCTCTACTGCATCATCACATGATTCTGAACATTTATAGGAAGAAAAAAATTAAAGCACTGTATATCAATTATATAACACTTTCTTACATAAAACTGTGGTATAGTGAGGATATATGTAACTGCTGCAAGAATGATCCAAAAAAACAACAACTGAAGCACATTTTGTACCTTGTACTGCCAACTAAATTTGCTGTACATGAAGTGAGTATGATTCATTTCTTCAAGCAAAGTTTTAAAAATACCAGACAAAAACCTTTAACTTTCTTAATGTTACACTGCATAATTCCTACAAAATATAATATCCACCTCCAAAAAAATCACCCACCATTGCAAACAGTCAATAAAGTAAGACTAAGATTAATATCACTATATGGAATGCAATAGATGACTGTACAACCACAAAAACCTGGCACCAAATTTAGAGCTAGTTTTATCCACAAATTTTATACAGAAAGCAGCAGCACATTCGTACATCATACATGACACTAAGCTTTAAGCAGAAATTCCTACTTGTCCTGTATGTGATTGTTAATTATATCATTTCAAGAAGAAACTTCACAGAAAAAGTTAATTTGAAAACTATTTTGCCTAGATATAATTCAGTTAATGCTCGTTATCAGAGCTAATCAAATATCTTATGTGCTCAAAAATAAGCAGTGCAGCAGAAATTAACAACAACTGTCAATTACAAACAAACACACACACGAATACACAAGCAAAACCTAGGAGCAAATGTGAAGTAACTTGCTAAAGAAACAACTGCACAGTATACACCAATGGTACTGTCATCATCTTCCCACAAAATATCTCCACACACAAGGCAAGGAAGATTTTCATCTCTCAAATTCCAAACAGAAATGCTGGAAAAAAAATCAACGTACACCAAAAATTTCCTCTTAAAACGAGACTCAAATACCCCTTGGATACATAAATTTTTCACAAAGCACAAAAATCTTACTAACTAAACCAAAATGAATTTTTCTTTCAAGCTAGCCCATACTTGTAGTTGCTGTTAGATAAATGGTTACTAGTACATGTAGCTGGAATGACTTAATGTTATGAAGAAAACAACATTCACCTTTTTGAAAACACCTTTTACCTATTGCACATTTTGTATGCCCAGTTATTACATTTTTTTTATACTGAGCAGCTAGGAAGCAAAATTTTTCGTTCAAACCTTGCTTCCAAATTTTTCCTTTGATTTAATTTTTTATATACTGCAGAAAATGTAAACTGTAGTAACTGTTGTATTATGTTATTGTTAAATGATCATCTACATTAAATGATTAGATTATTATTGAGTTTATATCTTTCCATGTTGAGACAATAAAATTTTATTGCATCATAAGTTTAAGATGCAAAAAATGTGTAACTGTCTTTTGTATTGTCACAAATTACCCTTTTTTCTAATGTGAGAAACAATGTGGCTATAAGAGGGGGTTTTCCACTTCATGAAGTGCTGCTAGTAAAATATGTCTTGTCATATAATATCTAGTACTCCATAGTTAAAATTGGCTTGCTACAACATTTGCTTGTAAAATGTAGCAAAAAATAATGTACAATCTGCATTTAATTTAATATAACTTATACCTGCACAGAGTTATAAATGTAAGGACAATTGCTTATTGAACGATTTCGATAGACTAAGTGTGTTCCACCCATGGTTCTTTTACTCACTAAATCCCCTTTCAAAAATTGTAATGGGTCCCTAAGGGCTGCCTCGCCTTTCAATTTTCCTCCAAACAAAATGTTTTTGTTTCCCCTTTCTAGAATGATAAAATAATAAATCCAATGTCCCAAAATATTATTAATATTAATCATCTCTAATAAGGAATATCTTAAAGTTTTTGCTAAAGTGGAAAGTGTGGACCATTTTACTCCAACATGCATATGGCCCATGAGAAGAAAATGTTGCTATTCTTCCAGACCAGAAATTCTGACTAAGGAAAAGCAAAACAAAACAATTCTACATTTTCCATGCTTTTCAGGCACTCTATTATGATATTCTGTGTGCTATTATGATGTAGAACTAGCAAAAAATTTTAGTTTGG